TTGAGCTGTACCCTGGGCCACTGTCTGTGACCACTGTCTGGCGTCTGTTCCCGAGGATGCATCCTCCCCCTGGATGCTAACTGGTTTTCCTAGTCATTGGTCCGGTGGTTCTGGACCTCCTCTGGCTCTTACCACCAAGGGATCATCCAAGTAGGTCAAAGAAGAGGGATTCAAAATGCAAGGAAGGGATCTGAGGGGTCCAACTGTCTCCCAAGATGCACTGTCTACTCTAGATAGCCCTCCCAGCAACCCGGAAGGGAGGCCCTAACAATGCACAAACAGACTCCACATTCTGAAGGCTAGGCTGGCAAACTGGAAACGAGAAGGTGGTTACTTGCTGGATCTAGTTATCACTGAGTTCCTAATATGAGCTGGCACCATGCCAGGCAGTTTCTGCCTCTCTGTTCCACTGCACTCTTGTGATAGCATTATGCCCATTTTCCAGATGAAGAAACCGAGGGATCGAGAGATAAAGTGATTTGACTCAAATCACACAGCAAGTTATTGGCAACAGAAATCCCGAGCCCAGTCTGCCCGATAATCTGATGTGAAAAGAAAAACAGATCTGCTAGGTCAAAGGCAGGGGTCCCCATAAGATTTAGACTCATGTTTTATCCCCTTTAATCGGTAGGTGTATGGTCAGCACACAGAGATGCAGAAATAAGTGGAAACATTCTGCGGCAGGACTAAAGAAGGGAAAGGAGTCATTCCTCCTCTCTCCAAACAGATTGCTGCAGAAGAAATAGGCACTCAGGACTCAAGTTCCCATCTGGGCTCTACCTACCAGAAGGCGTGTGGGACTTTGGACTAAGTCGTTTCAACTCTCTGGGACTTCATTTCCTCATCTGTTAAATAGAGGCAATGATGTCCACTCCCCAGGGTGGTTGTGAGGGTGAAACTCGCAGGCACAAGGCAAGCACCTAGCACAGTGCTTGGAACCTTGGAAGCACCCAGGAAGAGCTGGTTTCTTTCCTGCCTTTCAGTGTCCTCAGTCCATAAAGCCAAGACTGCGATCTTTGGGAAGTCATGTCCAATAATAAATCCAAAAGTTACTGAGCACTTACATACACTAAGTCCAGTTCTAAGTACTTTCCATGTGTGAGCTCCTGTAATGCGTCAGGTACTCATGATATGCTCACTTTGCAGATGAGGAAGCGAAAGCCCAGAGGAATCCACTGACTTTCCTAAGGTCACACAGCCAGTTAGGGGCAAGGATAGAGTCACACTTAGGTAACCTGGCTACTAAAACCGGCTTCTAACCATTGCAATACCCTGGACCTCAGGTGTGATGATGATTGCTGTCGGGAGAACCGTGTTACTACATGAACTTCTTGAAACCTTGCCTTCCCTGTTACAACAGTTCTTAAGTTGGGAAAAAAGGGGCACTCTTTTCTCAGCGTTGGATGGGTTGCAGGACGTGGGGGCTGCGGAAGGGAGGAAATAAAAAGCCCCTTATAAGTCTCCAGTAACTCAACAGTCCAACATTTAGAACAAAAGGGAAAAAGTACAGCAAATGGAGGTGCTGGGTGAGATTCAGGTAAGTCCCTTTCCCCTTCCGAGCTGGGACTCTGGATCACTAAGGAATGGGGGTGGGCGGAGGCCAGCACTTGTGGGGTCCACATTTCACTTATCTAACAGGTCAGGAGAAACTTTAACAAGATTAACTGCTGCTCACGGCCTCTGCTCGATGGAGCAAATTGAGTCTATTGTTTTCTTTCTCTTCCTCTTCTTTCTCTTTCTGTCAGACTGGAGGGGTACGGTGGGGGGCAGTTGGGGATGAGGGGCAGGGGTCTGGATCCTGCCTGGTATGGTACAAAAGCAAAGGAATGTGTCAGAACGCCCCCCCACCCCCCCACCCCCGCTCCCCAGACTTGAAAGGGAGCCCACACTGAGCTGTGCAGGAAGGCTGAAGGCTGTGCCTGGGTGGTGGGTCTGTGAGGTGGTGGTGTTTATCAGCAGCTTTGGGAGGAAGTCCTGGAAATAGGGATGTCTAGGATCAAATGGTAGTTCCTGCCGCTGGGGAGCTGTGTCATCCAGCACATACCTCTCCCCTCTGTGTCTCTGTCTCCCTGTTCAGCCAAAGAGGGAACTGTCCTGGGTAACCTCTGAGGACCCTTTTCACAGTAGCCTTAAAGAATTTTTCAACCAAGAATGGACAATCCATTCTTGGTGGGTCCTCCAGAGACTCCTGCACATAGGCACTTCCTAACTTTAGCTTTGTTTATGCCTGCATAAGCCTTTCCATTTTTATTTATTAATATATATATATATATTTTTTTCTCCTTTCCTTTTGGAAAAAATAAAAGGCATGATGTCTGAGCTTCAGAAGCAAACTGCTCCTTCACTCCTTCCCTCTGCCTCTTCCAGCGCCTGTCTGAACTGGTGTCAGTGAAGTTTGAACCAGGGCAGAAATAGCATCCCCGGGCGGATCTGGGAGCGCAGCCCGCCTACCAGGAGCGGCAAGGCCTGCCTCTGCCAGACGACAGACCCGGTTAACAGCACCATAAAATTAGACCTTTACGAAACCCAATTGAATCCTGCAGCAAAGAGTGATGTAAGGCAGCCTGGCCTGACAGCAAGCAGCAACCCTCTGCCTGAAATAGCAGCACGGTCCCTGCTGAGAGATGCCTGCTTCTCTCAAGATAGGTGACCAGGGATTCCTACGAAAGTGGCAACGCCCAGCCAGAGAGAGCCAGCAGAGGTCAGGCAGCACACTGGGCACCCGAGGTCACGCGGGAGGACGCGGCTTGGCACCAGCATCCCAACTGCCCACCTCGGTCCTGCCTCTCCCAGACTGAACTTACACGAAGGAAGGAGCTGAAAAAGTGCTTCTGCAAAGAACCTCTGTTTGTTTGCTTTTTAATTCAAGGAGAAGCAGGTTCTTTTTAGTCCAACAGTCTGTACCGTGTGGAGGATACGCAGAATGAGTCTTTTCTGGCTCAAGGCCAGGTGTTTACACACCGCCAAATCTGGCTCAGACTCAACTAGGGGAGGGAAAAAAAAATCCACCAGAATCCTCGGGAGAAAAGCTCCTAGCTTTCTGGTGCTACACGGCAGCAGTGACTTTTTTTTTCTTTCTCGTTTTGAGAGGAATGTTATTTCCACACATAAAATGGACCAGGCATTTTATACAAGCAATAATAACCTAACGTCCCCCATCCAATTAAAGTATTTTACTGCACAATCTTTGTGTGAGAGAGTGAATAAGTGCTCGAGAGAGCGTGTGTGAAGAGAGGCTCCTTGTCTGAATTACAGACATTTATAAAGCAGGCTCCTGTGGAATCCCAGGTGCTATATATATATATATATATATATATATTAATTTTTAATGCATTTACTACCTTTTCACTGATGATACCTATATAACCCTGGTTTTTTCTCTCTGGAGGGGAAGGCTTCCAAATCACTGGTATGACAGGTAAAGACTAGGAAACATCAGATCTACTCATTAAAAAAAATCACCTTCAAGCAGCAGGCTCTGTGTTTTCCCTCTGTTCCGAAAGAGAAGTAAACATACCACAGCCCTGAATTATCACCACCGTCATTATTATTATGAACAACGTCTCTTCTCTACACTATATTATACCCCCCTCTGGCTGACTAGGGCTTGGGGGCTAAAAGTGAATGAGCTCAGTTTCCCTCTCCTTCCTGAGGGTGGAAAAAAAAAAGAGACAGAAAATAGCATGTGATGACGTCAGATGTGGGGGAAAGTCACTTTCTAGCTCTCGGTTTGGTAGCGGGAAAGCAGGAGCTGTGGAGGCATATTCTTGGTATAGCAGTAGAGTTTGGGTCCCCGAAATGGACTTGATGTAAATAGGACAGAGTCAGCGCAACGTCTGAGAAAGTCCACGCCAAGATAGAAAAAGCGGACTGCCGGAAGAGCTCAGAGCTTTCCCTTCTAAGAAAGTGTGTGTAAGGGGGTGGGATCGAAAAACGCCTCCACACGTTTCCTGGCTGCAGGGAAGGGGGAACCCCTACTCTCACTTTAAGAACGTCCTAGGACATGGCAAGCTTGTTTGTGCAGGAAAGGGAATCTCCCAGCCAGAAGAGGCAAAACTTTCCTTCTCTCTTCCAGCGCCGCCCCCCGCCCCCCAGTTTTATTAAAGGCATTGCCACAGATTCATTGAGAGGGGGAAAAATGGATGTTGGAACATTTCTAAGGTTTGCAACCCTCGCAAAGTGTCCGGTTTCACTATGGGCTTTGCTGTGGACCAGCGAGGGGCGGGGGGTGATGAGGAGGGAGAACTCAAATTCATTACGGGCTCATAAAAGTCCCAAATGAGAAAAGCGCCCCGTTTCCAAGCCAAGTCGGGGGAAGACTGGCGGGGTGTGCGTGAGGAAGGTCTCGCCCCAGCCCCAAGTGGCAGGCAATGGGCTTTGAAAAAGAGAACATGGGATGGCAGTGCGTGTGTGTGTGCGCGAGCGCGTGTCTGTGTGTGGCTGCGGGAAGGGGGTGAATCCCAGAGGCAGGCAGCAAGCAGAGAGCAACTTCGGGGCACTTCGAGGACTTCTAAGTCCTAGTGATCATAATAACCTTGTCCTTGTAGGCTTTCAGGGCAACGGGGCCAAGTAACGGGGGTCACCTCCATTAAAAAGTCAAAGAAATCAACCGTTCCCTAGCCTCTTTTCACATGCATCCCAACTGGGTCATCCTCCCCTCCATCCCAAACGGAGCCAGTAGGTCCGACCATCCTCAACACGGTTTACGTGAACCAGTCTCCCCCGGGACCAGCCCTCATCGACTGCGGGTCTCGGGGCGGCAAGGAGCGCTCCTTGCGCTAGTCCCGCGGGGCTAGGCAGAGACGCCTTCGGAGCGCGCCCATTTGGCAGATGGGGCAAAGTGAGGCTCGCAGCTTTCCCGGAGTCGCCGAGCGGTCGGCGGAGCGACTCCCGCAGACACACCCGCCGGCCCGCGACCAGCCCGCCACCCGCACCCAGGCACCCGCGCGCCTCTGGGGCCGCGGGGCCGGTGCAGCGCCCGCCGGGGCGCCCTCGCCTACCTGTGATCACCGCCGGAGACTTCTGTCCCCCCTCCGCTCGCAGCCACACTTGCAGCGTGAACGCGTCCCGGGGCAGCTCGAGGTCGGCCCGCAGGCGCAGCTGCTCGCCTCGCCCGCTGAAATAGA